AGTCTGTAGCTGTGGCTCCCATTTATCAGTTTCCAGAAATGCTCATTAGTGAAAATTAATTCACCTGTGTCCTCTTATCCTGGTGAAGCCCATTAGCAATCGCTATGGGCTGGAGAAGTATGGWGGTCCTATCTATCCAAAAACCGTTGCTATATGTCATACAAATCAGCTGCTACTTAAAGTCAATTCCTGCTTCAGGAGATCTCCGTTAGACAAGCCATATAAATCAACAAACCAGCTAACTTAATGAACTTACCTGTTTGTCACATGCTAGTGACATATTCCTTCAGCGGCTCAGTCAGCTTCAATGATCAAGTGGGTGGACTCCAATGCAGCTAGCTTGCCTATCTAATTACATCTAAATTTTAGGTGCCTGTTGAACCCGCCTTACTACAGTAAGTTCCATATATAGCCAGTGGGGAAGCTCATGCCTTTGAAAGCCTCCTTGGGGAGTGCCTGAATTAGGCAGGATCTCCCCCTAGAGCTGCTTTCATAGGCACCTACCCCTCCGCATGGACAACAGAAGAAATTTGGGCACTTAATTCCAGAGAACTAGTTCACTATGTGCTCAAAACCTAGGCGCTAATTAGCTGCCTATGTCTGCCTGGACCCTCCCCTCTAGCTTCTGAGTCATGTAGCTTAATATTATGTAATACCCTACTAATATTTTTTTAAAGTATATATTCTGCACTGCAAACAGAACAAAAATTAGAAATAGTGTAATAGAGGATTTAAAATGGTGATGCCAAGACCAAACCTTACCAGGAGCTTCAGCATCGTCCACCATTCACCACGGCATAACCTCAATGTTAGATGGAAAGCAGGGCATTTTTTTGACCCAAACCAGTTGTTCCAGCCCCATTCCCTCGACTGGCATCTGCTCCAGAGCTCTCCTCTGTCCGAGTGTTGGAGGGGGAACCACGGAGAGGCAGCAGCAGCTCCATGGTCAGGGGAAGGGGGACGCACTGGAGAACAGTTACATAAAATACTAGCAGAAACCAATTACAAAAACTTATTTGAATCTAAAGGGGTGGCTTTTATATTCTTGCTGAGACTTGGCATCTGAATTTGCCAATTCAGATTCAATGCCCCTCAGGTAAAGGAGCCCATTCTAATTAAGATAGATTTTACATGGAGAAAATAAGTTCTCAGAGGCTACATGAGGCTTTTTGGTGCTGCAAGGCTAAGTGAGTATTCAGAAGTCAGCAGTTTCTCAGACACGATCTCCCTGGCGTGGCCCATACAATGGGGCACGGACAAACACTGCCCGGCGCCGCTACCCCACGCGCTGGCGCCCAGTGCAGCCCTCCCCACCTCGCCCCACACCTCGCGTCACCCGCGCGGGCCGCCCTCCTCCATCCGCAGCGGTGCCGCCTTCACTCGGGGGTGTTTCAAAGCGCTCTCTGATATTCGTCCCGAAAAGGTGCTTGAGAACCAGAAATTAYGACTTTATAGCTTTCATCCCATGAATGTTTTATAATGCTGCTCCACATTCATGCCTGACAGCCCTAAATAACTTAAGTAGATTTAAAGTGGGGATAAATTTGTCCCAGTGGATGAGGTGGTGAGATGGCATTTGGAGCACAAGGGTAGGGCTCCCCGATGGCACCACATTCACCCTGAAGCCAGAAACCAGCCCCACCACCCGCTCATCTACACAAGAATGATCAGTGCGTGGCTTTCCTGAAACTCTGAGGTTGGATACACCAGGAAATGCATCTCTCATGTCAAAAATATGTACCTGGTATGTTATATTAGAATACATGTGCAGGTCGTGTTTACTAAGACTTGAGCTATTCTAGTAATCAAGGCTGATGGCTGAATGCATTTTTTATGTTTTTGACCCAGATATTTTAGTCGAAAGCACATTATTTTTCCCAGGAATAATCTCTACAAGACATTCCTCTGCCCTACAAGCAGGTGTTCACACACCTGCTAGGGAAGTTAGACAGACTCGACTAATTCCCAGTCAGGGCCAGTTTGTGTAATTTTGATCCTGTTCCAGCCTTCATCATTAGTTAAAGAAGCTTTTCTGGAATATTGCTTAACTCCCACTGTCCTCTTATGTACATGAAGAAAAATTATGCTCCTACTCAGTCTTCATTTTGTTAGCATAAGCAAGTCCACCTGTTTCAGTCTCCCTGTACCACAGGCTTTCCACTCCTCTCATCATCCGGGCAGCCCATCTCCAAGGAGTTTATTCACAGAACGAGTGTCTCAGAGAGAACCTATTGGCTTCCTAATTAAACAAATCTGCTGCAAATGCAGCAGAAAGATGAAACAATTTAGTGAAAATTAAATCTTGGCATTTGCTGGCAAAACTTATAATGAAAAAGTGGAAAACACCATCAATCTTCCAGTTTGATGGGGGGCAAATTTTATCAAGGGACTGTGAGCAGTGCACATCTCACACCAAACTAATGAAGGCCTGTTGCTGATCAGACTTTCCTTATAAACATAATAAACATAAACATAACATCATAAATAAGTGACTGGGGATGTGATAGCCAGATGTGAGAAAAAAAAAAAAAAAAAAGAAATATTTGGCAGATACATGCTACTTAATCCTAAGGTAAACCTTGGAGAAATTCAGATCTATTTGGGTTATAGTCCTATCTCAATGAATGGTTCTGATGCTCAACATTACTGCTGCTCTTACTTGAGTTTAACCCCTTACCTGCCCAAGGTGGTTTGTAATAAATTGCCTCTCCACTTGGTCTTCTGCTCTTCTATTCTTTGCTGTCTCCCCTTAGTGACCTTGGCTCTTTCGGTTCTCAGAATCTTTCCTCTCTTCCTTCTCCCCCCATTCATTCTTATTAGAGAAAAGTCCCATGGAATGTAATGGGAACCTGATAAGMGTTCAAGTCCTATGTGATAAGGTATTCTATAGCACCTTTCAAGATACAGAAATAATAGCAGTATTTACTATGAAGTTTTTATATTTACAATGATTCCTATAAATTTTCTGCTTCTATTCCTCACAAGTGGCACAAATATTACAAAATAAAACACTGAAGATCCGGCTGATCTCCTGGCTCTCACAGTATTTCTGCTGGATGTTACGAATGTAACTTCACCATTGGGAAAGTCCAGCAGCTGGTACTGGTGCCAGCTCCTGCAATACGATGAGTAAATGCAAGAAAGTGAGGATACTGCAGTAATTCTGGCTGTAAGAGTAATTTAAGAGTAATTTAGATAAYGATTATCTAGGCATATTCACTTTTTATTTCACCAATAGAAATGATTAAAATACTGTGGCCAAATTATAGTTAGAAAAATATAAATATGGAGACAAACTAGGTCCTCATAAGTCTTAGATAGCAATATTAGATAAAAGAATATCTCTGGGGATAATGCACGCAGGTAGAGCTTCTTTAAAGAACATGAAAGGTGTGCAGGTTTGCACCATTCCCAGTAAACATTGATATTTACCAAATTTAATGAGCAACTTCTGGGTTTTGAATGAGACAGGAGGTTGAGTGATTAATTTGGAAAGAGCTAAAACCCACAAGGTTAATTCCCTTGTAGTGTGCAGAATGCAGATGCGTTCTGATTTTAGCATAGGCAGAGCTAGAGTTTGGGAAGCTGCATCACTGCCACATTCCTGAAGAAGTGCCCACATTTGCACGTTCTCCTACTCACCCTTGGGCAAGCAATCATTCATCTGTCTTCCATGTAACTCACATAAATCCCTGTTTCAGTGCAAAAAAATGTAAAGTTCTAGGCATCTGAGTGACTGCACATACTATGCATACTGCACATCCACTGGCTTTAGGCTTCAGGTATCATCATAAATGTTTGACACACCAAAATTACAAACCTGCTCCTTTTTATTTCCACAGCTCCACTATTTACTAGACACTTGGTAATATCAGGTTAGGTCAAGGTAACCTGACAGTATTTATTGACTGTAGTAAGTTTAGAGGCTATCCTGGCATAACTAGATGCCTATTAATAGAGTCAAATGAGGATGAGCGTTGCCAGCATCCTAAATTTAAAAGTTCAACTTACAGAAAATTCTGAAAATTCAGCAAAGGAAAAGCAGAGAGGAAAAGCAGAGAGAAAGGAAAGGAGGAGGGGAAGAGGAGAGAAGATAAAAGTAAAGCGCAGACAGTTTGAGATAAAAGAAACAGACAGTGGGAAAACACATTTTCCCATTATTAAAGATAAATACAGGCTATACCACCCGAGGTCATCCACAGATGTCAGCTTAAGCCTTGATCCTCCAAAAAATCTGGGATAGATTGCAGAGAGGCTCCTTCTGCTTTTGAGACTATTTTACGATTCAGCCCTTTTAATCCGTAATAGGTGAAATTAGCCTGTATATAGGGAGATTCCTTGCATGTAGCACAAAAACAGCACATTTGTGCAATTACAATAAAGACGAAACCTGCTCGTAAAGACAAAGTCTTCACACAGTCAGAACTCATCCAGAAAGTTCATGAATTCACCATTTTCCATCCGCTGTCATTCATACGTCTTTGCATTGCGGAGAAGTGTCTTATGTCTCGGTGGGTTATTGTTTAATGGGCTAATGCACATTTTCTGCATGAAATGGTGCTGTGGAAGTTCTGAGGAGAGTACGACTGCTAAAAAAAAAAATACGAGTACTTCCAAATAGTAAAAAAAAGCCCTCCTTGGTCTCTTGGTGATAGAGAAAGCCAATTTCACTCATTGATTTGAAGGGAGTTGCATCAGGCCTTGAATAATTTAGCTCACAAGGAATACTATGTAACACGTGCTATAGAAGAACCACCTTGCTGCTTTATTTTTGTGCTGTTTGTAAAACTGGAATAAAATTTTGCCTCTAAAAAAAAAAATGAAGTTTTTAATTGTGAGCACAGAGCTGTTTGTACATGTCCTAATTGATGCAACCTCTTTCTCTCACAACCAAAAATAAAGCATATTATATTGTAAGAAAATGTTTTATTTCTTTGAAATACTGCTTTAAATTCTGCACCCCAACAATGCTCTTTGACCCTGTAATTTTTTGTTGCTAGCTGGTGAACGAGCAACAAGAAAGCAGACCCCTCCTGAGCCCCTCCATTGATGACTTTCTCTGTGAAACTAAACCAGAAGCTGTTGCAAGGCCTGTAACATCAAACACAGCAGGTAACCAAAACTCTGTTATTCCTCAGTAAGGAGAAATAATTCCAGTTTCATTTTAACACTGCTACTTTTTGTCAAGTGATTTCTTTTGGTCTCTTAAAAAAAATTACTAATTTCACAAAATTACAAGCTTGTCTTTAGTTATGAATTGACTATTAGCAGAAAAACTTTATTCATTATGTTTGAGTGCAAATTTTTTTCAGATCTCCATCTCCATCTCAGATTTTAGTGCTGAGAAAAAGGGAATCCTGTAAAACAGGGAGAACGTATAAGCTCAGCAAATCCTCAGTCTGTTGCTTTCACAAAATTTTAACCCATGGGGAAGCTACATTTAAGTCAATTTTTAACTGGACTCATTCCTTATTTTAGAAAGATTTGCTTTAATAATAATAATAATAAAAAAGGATGAGATATCAGGGCACAGAGAACACCTATGAGAAGAATTTATTCAGATTATGTTCCTTTCCCCACTGAAAAAAATACATTTACTACTGGTTTCAGAGGTTTTAATTGTGAAAGGATCTAACAGATTTCTTAGCAGCTTCATTTTTGGGTGAGAGAGCAAAACAGATATAAAAAGGAAGAGAAAATCCGGAATGCAAACCGGATTAAGAAAGGTGTATTGTTTTTTAGAGGTGTTTTTAGAAGTGGGCCTCCTCCTACTGGGTGTTTGTGCAAAGGTTATCAAAGCAATTGAGCTCATCACTTAATATCACTTAATCACTTAAGTGTACAATAGCACTATTCTATTGCTATCTCCTAAAACTTGATTTGTTAGAAGCCATTTAATTAAAATCTATATACATGCAAATTATGAAAGTGAATAATTATCAGTGATATGATTATCTTCACATCTAATTAATATGTGCAAACAAAATGCAGGTTTTAAAATTGGAAATTGGAACATTGGCAGAAATTGGAACATTGAATTAAAAGAAAAATTGTAAATACTAGTTTTTCTTTGTATATAGGCTAAAATACTACAGAAATGAATATAAATACCTCAAGTCATGTAAGACTTGTATTTGTTGTAAAAAAAAAACTATCTGTAGCTCCTATATCTGCCTTGAGTATCTATCTGATTTAGGGGTGGTTAATTGCATTCTTAATAGCAAAATAAAGAATTGTTGCACTGTGAAGATTTGGGAAAGTTCAGTGATTTACCACCCTATAGGCTGATAAAAARGGGAAAGAGTTTGACTGTTTTAAGAGCTAAATCTTTTAAAATATTACTTTCTAAACAATTCACAAATGAAAAAACAAATCAGACTGAAGCATGCTTTATATGTTGGTACAGTCCTATAATAGAGATATCAATAGAATTTACCACATCTGTCAATGTTTATCCCCCAAAAGATAAAAAAAAAAAAAAAAGCCACCAGCAACAACTGTAGAAACAACTACTAAGCATAGTTACTCCTTTTGGACCTAAAACCAGAAAATTTGGGGCAATTCAGGTTATTTCTCAGAGAAACTCATGTTATAGTCTTCTGTGCTATGTTCTWTTGTTATTTCTTGGGCATGTCCTGTTAATTACAAAACTATTTAGTGTCCTGTTTCTTTCAATACAGCAAGAATGTTTACAGCCGCAATCTCACGCCCTGTCCAGTCAGGCTGYAGCCACAGCTCTCCCTTTGTGAGGATCGCTTTGGGAGCGCTAGGCTTGACCGTGTTTGCAGCTTTTCTAGCATGACTGCTTCTTCCTCACCTTTCACAAATCTTCTGCCTCATACAGACGTGGCTTAAGGAAAGAGTGACATGGGTTGTTCTTCGCACCTTTTAACTCACGGGCAAAAGTTACTTAGCTCTTGTTTTCTCCACATCCTTTCTTAACTATAAAACAATGAATTTCCACTAACTCTGCAATTACTCTCGTTGTTGCCATATTTGTGATGAAGTCTGCTTCTATACACAGTTACATCAAGGACAGAAAGCACATTTCAGACTATGATTTTTACAGCAGATTAAAACAAGCCAATTTCTCAATGAACTAATGAAAATTAAGCATGCAGATCTCCTCTGTAGTTTTCAAACTTCATCCAGAAACATTGAGAATACAAATAACATATAATTTTTACCATAAATGAATAGTTCCAGGAAACTAAGATGAGTTGCAAAAGTAGGAAACGAAAGATTTTTTTTAAGATATTTAAAATGTTGCTTAATGAAAACAAACATAATTTAGCATCACTGAAAAGCATTTTGGAARGTGCAGTGTTAGAGGCAGCTGTCCATTTCTCAGTTTTGTGAGGTGCATGTGGCTTATCAGTTGTGTCTTAAGCAGCTATTACTACTACCTGATAAGCTATTAAGACTAAGTTATATTTTATCTACGAGATCAATTTTACCAGAAATACTCCCATCAAAAGAAYGGCTGTGGACTAAGCTTTTCAAAAGTGACTAGTTATTTCAGTACCTAAGACTTGAGAAAGGCTGGTTCTCAGAGGGAAAAGCTTTTATGCAAATCAAGCTTTCTTAAATTGAATTAAGTACCTATAATTATTAGTCATATTTGAACATGTTAGCCATCATCTTTTGTGAGGAAATAAATGCTTGCTATAGGCAAATGCAGATACATTAATTTAATAATTTCTCAGATACATTAATTTAGTAATTTCTTTTCCAATTAAAACAGAGATTAACAGATGTGAGCTATTTGAATTAAAACAACACTGAATTCTAACATTTTGTCTCTAAGTGTTATCAACAGCTTTGGATCTCTTGGATCTTAGTGAACCTGTGTTACAAACCCAAAACAAAGCAAAGAAATCAGAGAATGCATCAAGAGGTGAAGGCTTAAAAGCTTCAACCCACAGAAAGAAGACAGACAATTCTGACCTTGTCAATGCGGATACTGAGCAGAAAGTCCAGACTGTTAGAGTATCAGACAAGTCTTCACTAGATTTAGGTAAGAGTGTAGTTATTCTATGAGTGCTTCACAGCGTGCCTTAGCACCAATTCCTCCTTGGTATGATCACAAAACTACAACAAAGAAATTTTCATTTCATCACACTTTAGCAGGGAGCGTAAAATTTGTTTCACGTTGTAAACCCCTGTCATGGTGAGCCCTTTTTGCCAATGTGAGCACTATTTGCCAGTATCCTTAATGTAAAGGATACTTGGGGAAGAATATCTATTTACTATTTTTGATACGTTTACTACAAAAATAATACATTTCTCTTCTGAAGACATATCTTCTTTCATCATTTCTATGCTATTAAGATTTCAGCTAATAAAGACGTGCATCCCACCTGAATAGATACTTTCCAAAAAAGAATATAAGCATGGTCAATAAAATGGCAGAAGAATCTGTAGAGGTATGAGAAGCTGGAAAAGGACCCAAGTCAGTGGCAACTCACATTGGATGTCCTTTACAGAACTGAAGATGTCAAAATACGCATTGTATTTGTAATATAGTGCTTTATCTAGACATATTGGAGGAAAAAAATTCCATTCTTGACAGAAGAGCTATGTTCATACAGATTAAAAAAAGAAAAAAGAAAAAAGAAAAAAGAAAAAAGAAAAAAGAAAAAGAAAAGAAAGCCAGCACAACTCAATATCCTGCCAAGCATGATCCACAGATGAGCTTTGGAAAAGATGTATTTAATTCAGTTACATCCAAACTGAATTACTTGCATTTCAAGCGAGAAATTTGCAATATAAATGATTTATATCAAAGTAGCAAAATGTCCATTCATCAGCACAGAAATTCTSTTGAGAACTTGATTGTCAGACAGGAGCTGTACATCTGATTTTTGCAAAGCAAGACAGGCATATGACTGAGTAATATCAGTTGCCTACACAGTCAGTTTTACATGGTAGGCACTAGCAAAGCTACATTTTTACAAATTGACCTATTTTTTTGTTAGGAAAATAAAAATATCAAATATTATCATAGAGCTATTATAATTTTATCAAGAGATATAAATTATATAGAAATCACTGCCTTTGAGTCAAGAGCTCCAGTCACATTCTGACTGACTATGAGTGCTTTTTTTCTGGCCATTAAAACCTAGATTTAGAAAAATGATATTAATTCTCAATCATTTTCAGAGCATTTATGCTAGAAAGCTGTACAACGTTCTTGCAGATTGGACCTTAATTAAAACATTCTTTCATAACTTCGCTTCACAATTTCCCCTACAACCTACATTTACAGAAGAGAAAAAAATGTCAACGCTTGATTCTTTAACAGATTTATGTTTTCTTTTCCTGTTTTTCAGTTGATATTCAGACACAGCTAGAGAAATGGGACGAGGTGAATTTTCATGGAGACAGGAGCAGCAAGGGTCATCCATCTATGGAACGAACATCATCATCCAGAGCTCCATCAAAAGAGCTTTTGTGGTACAACGTTTTGACTTCCTTACAAAAATATTTCTACTCCAGCTCTCTTAGTTCACAGAAATGATAGCTTTATGGCAAGTCACAGTGTTATTGAATCTGTTGTCATTATACTAAGTGTTCAGGCAGACATTTTAGACTATATTATAAACAAATGTACCATAAAATGACATTTTTCCAACAATTTTAGCRTTTGGAAAAGTAACAAATGGTGGTGAGAATCCTATAGGCAGATACAATGATCTATAACAACTAGAAAAATGTGAGTAAAATAGGGTATTTTGCAGTGATTTGTCCATCACTGGTTGCTCAGTTCAAATTCTTTGACAGCAAGAAGGTGGAAGTTGCGTGTGTTACCAGGTGAGGCACAAGAAAATATCCATGCCAAGTAGTACCTCTYGTGCACTGCTGAGCTGAAGTTTCATATGCTGTAAGTGAGGAAGAACTGGGCTTTGCCTTTCAGAACAGTCCAGGCATTGCCTAATTCTGCTGCCTGCTTTGTGTGTAAGCTACATTTGTTCACTGCATTATGCATGCACATACTTGGCATTAGCACTGCCATGCACTTGGGGCAGGTTTCCGACCGGCTGGTGCCCAGCCTGTACCTCACCTTGCCTTTTAGGTGAGTGTTTTAATAGCTCCGAGCTTTGCACGAGAGTTTTGGTCAGTTAAACCTCATTGTTCTACAGGGYTTCAGTTTCTAAGATGGGAGGTTACAGGATATGGTGCCCCAAAAAAGAAATGTGTGAAGCACACAGCCGGGGTGGGGATGCTGAGAAGGGTGCGGGCACTTTTGATATCAGCAAGCTAAAGAATTCAGCTAAAACATAGCCCAATTAGTCAGTGTATACTTATGAAACTGGCAGACAGAAGGCAGCGTTTCTAGTGCGCAAGGATGAACATGAAATGCATTATTTATAGGTCCACGGAAARCAGATCACAGCCTGAGCTGACTAATGTCAAGAGTGCCTTGGATTCCGATTCAACATCAGATTTAGAACTAGCTCCTGCAACACAGGTAAGAGAATTTAGCAGATTCAGTATTTTTTTTAAAAAAAAGGAACTGTCCCACTTCCATTCTGGAAGAATTATTTAAGGGAAATTTCAGGATCATCAGTTAAAAGACACATACAGCTGAATCTTCACACAACTTCCAAATTAAGATTTTAAGAAACTGAAAGAACTGTGTCATCATCTCAACATTCAGTATTTACTGCTGCAGTGACCAGTGACCCTCCTGTACAGAGAGAAAGATTTTAAATTAGAATTCGTCACAGCATCTTCTTTGCCTTCCTCCAGCTTTGAAATTCTAACTTTTCATGTTCCCTTTACTTGTTAGATACATTTTGCCAAGGTCTCTTGGTCAACTAGGAATCTCCAGAACAGGGAAACTGCTAGGGAAGACAGGAAGGAATCCTTGGCCAATGCTCCTTGGCGGTTCATCTCCACAAATGGGGTGGCAGTGTGGTCACACGAATTTCTCCTGCTAGAGAAAGCAGCTCTCATGTGATGGGCTGCAGGGTGAAGGTTTGTAGAGTGTGTCACTTCTAGTGTTATATGGTATATTGGACAGGTTTTTCTAGAAGTGATTATGTAAAGATACACGGTCATACATATATATGTATACACACATAAATCTATACATATGTATGTATATGTGTACAAACATACATTTATATATGCATTCACATAGTTCAAGTTGCTTATACACCCTCTTTTCTGGCATATCCTGTTTTTTATTTCTCAACTGAGCAGTTTYAAGTTCAGTCTATGCCACTGTCGAGGGAAGAAGAAATCTGTTTGGTGGACTGAGTCTTAGCTGAAAATAATTTTCTTTTCCACTGCTCTTTTTAGTCCTGGGCTTCAAAATCTTTCTGTCAGATGAAAAACTGGGAAATTAATAGCCCCATTTTCAAAATGGAAGAATGAGAGACCAATATATTTACTGTCTTTACTAAGACCATGKGGCATGTTTTGCAGAAACAGAAAATTAAATCCAATTCTCAGGATCCATTCCTGTTTTTTCATTGAGGAATTATCCTCCTTTCCTTCTCTGGTGTCTCTACATTACAAACAAAACTCTTTTTCTTCCTTTGGAAATCCTAACATTAATTCTAATACATGAAATCTCCCCTTTCTGTACAGTAAATTTATACATCTTAGTAATGGAAAAAAATCTATTTCCTAGCACAGTCCATTTCCATGAACTTTAGTTCACATGCTTTATTCTCCTTTTTAGGAGGATATTCYTCAGCCTAAGAAATCTAAATGTCAGGAAGTTTATGCTCAGTCTAAATGCGTGTAAATCAGTCATTGGAAATCTCTACTACATCTCTACTTTATAGGGTCATTTACCAATTTATCTTCCAGTAGAGTAACTACTCTATCAAATCTAGCAAAAATCTTCATTTTTAATTCAGTATAGGTTCAGTCAGTTCACATTCCATACTGTTTTGTAAAATAGCTAGTATATCAAGATTAAAACAATGTTAAATTAAATTGACCAACCTGAAACAGTTTCTCATAGGCATCACTTTTTTCCATCTTGTGACCCACTTAGAGCATGAAACATTTTTGAACTGTTAACTAGGTGTGCAAATAACTGACCTGAAGAYCATCTTCTGAGACCACTTGGTTATTCTTGATAGTTTACCAAAAAATGTAGTATTTTCAACCAGCTTAAGTTTTGATTAACCCTGCTGTCGGTTCCCAACAACCACTCATCTCTATTACAGAATTCTTAATTGCTTGCTTGTAAAAGAAACCACATTCAAGCTTTTATCAAAGCATATATTTCACAAATTTTGTCCTCTGCAGATCTTGTCTACCTTCTTTAAGGGTACTCTTCACATATGCAGCTACCCTGCCATACCCTACAGCTTTCATCTTGCAGTTTGCCATCAGCAGTTTGTGAGACAATCACCTTCATCATTCATCTTTGACACTTTAACTTTAGTTCCTCAAAGGGAAATGCTAAGTAAACAGTTCAAATTTTCATACTAGCAGAAAAGTTATGCAATTCTCTTAACTAAATACTGTGTTTACCCACACTTATGCTAATACAGAATTAGAAAAGCAAGCTTTGAATTAATAAGGAAAAAGTGTATTTGAAATCAAAGCAGCTACCATTGAATGGAGCCTTCTTCCTTCTCAATATCTTGCTCACAGCATATGCTATCTAATATTAACTTTTAATATGCATTTTCCCAAGCATCTTTGTTGCTCCTGTTATTGGCCTCCCTGGCAATTACTTGTTAGGCTTTTATTGCCGTTGAGATATCCTGCAGTTTTGAGGGTTTCTTGAGGATTTATTTTCKGTTTGATAATTACAAACTGCAGTGGTAGATAATATTTTTAATGTGTTCAACTGTGCATGCGTAGCGTTGGCTCATGTTTGCAAATGCTAAATATAATTTCTGACTTGGGCCTCTCGCTCGGGGCATTCTAGATATTTTACTGTGTACTCAGAGTGCGTCTGTAGACACTCTGACACACTGAAAAAACTGTTCCTAGCTCTGATATCTCACACTCCTAGGCCAAGATACAGCCCACAGCTTGTACACCTTGGAAATCCGYAGTTTGGCACAGCAATATTTAGCCTGCATAATTTATTCTCCACTTTCCCAAATACCTATGATAAGACTAATGAGCCCATCCCTTCTTGGATATGCCATTTACTCTAATGAAATGAAGGAGATACCAGGGAGAGATTCAGCTCATTATTTGAAAACCTGCTCAAAAATTAAGACTACAATTTAAGCCTCTCACCAACAGTTAAGGTCCAACAGCACATAAGCAGACAACAAGTGCAGGAAAGTGTGCGCAAATGCATTGGAATGGAAGATTTTGTCCCTGAAGACAGCAGCCAGTGATCAGCTACAGCAGCTCCGCTGTAGAGGGGTGAGCATAACAAACCAGTGTATGCAGCCTGTCCATGCCTCAGACATCCCATTCCACCCTGCCCCATTCCTGCCTCGGGCTCCCMGGCCAGGATGGGCTGCAGAGCCCCGCTCCATCCCCGGCTGGAGACACAAAGGTCTTCGGTGCCGGCACTCCATTCCCATCCCCTCTCCTCCCGCACTAGTGACAGGCAGCATGTCTCGTCTATATCTTTCATTTCTGGATATCACAGCTYGGAATACGACCCTGCATTGTCTATATATGATGCAGTTTATGGGAGGGGGGTCTATAACAACTTTTCCCCTCTGGCCGAGGGCAGCTGTGTATTTAACGGAGGAGAAGGTGTGTTTGTGTGGGGATTATGGGGGGAGAATATGTGTGCCCCAACACATGGCAGAGGAAAGGAGTCGGCACTTCTTCCTCTTCTTCCCCTTTTTCCCTTCTGCTGCCTCACCAAGGTCACCCTCCTCTTCTAGGGACTAATCAGGCTGAAAGCAATGATTTACAGTATTGTCTTTGACCTAAGGAAATTACAGTCATTGGAAAGAAAAGATTCACAAGCTGAGGTAATCAAACATTTTACAAGAGTCAACACACGAATAATGAAAAGGCAAGGAACATAATTAATGTCTGTCAACGTAGTTTTGTGTCAAGAAACCTCAAATTCATTCTTCGATCTGATTACAAGCTCAGTTGATAAATGTTGCTGTGTGATCTTCTGCAAGATGTTTGACTTAGCACAYCATATTCTGATTTAAAAATTAGCACCGTGCAGTATGAATAATGCAGTGTTAAATAGATTCAAACTGGCTAGCTTATGTTCTCWAGAAGAGCAGTGATTTACCAGGTATCATATTAATAATAATTCTGTGATTCCAGAGAGAAACTCCAATCTTTAATACTAGTTATCTGGAAGTAAATAYGTCAAGGAAAATTTAAATCATTGCTGATAAAACCTGAACAAGGGTTGAATTAAGAATTGTACAACAGAGAGACATAAAATGACCTGGTGATCAAGACACCTGCATAAATATATATTATAATACAATCACTTGAAAAGTCATTCATTTCAGACTGAGAATGCTGGCTCTATATACAAGAGTGTGCTGGAAGGCTGGTCCAGAAAGGATTTATGGCTCATAGTACACAAGGATGTCAGCAGGAGCTCCCTGTGTAATATATGCCTATATATCTATATAGGGTATTTCTCTGTTCACCATGGACATGATGGATACTGGAATCCACTTTTACTGTCTGTGTTGTAAAACGGCTATAAAAAAAAATCTCATAGTGAGATATTTAAGATCTTACTTTCTTTAGCTCATCATAAGATAACTAAAAGCTGATCACAGTTATGAATGAATTTGCACAGAGAATTTTTTTTTTTTTTTTGCATGGAGAAAATTAGAGAAAATAAAAGTACTTTAAGCTATCAGAGAAAGGAGAGTTGATGGCTGGAAATGGAAGCCAGAAAAGTTAAAAGCAATAAGGGAAGCAAAGAGGGCAATTAAACAAATCTCTAAGCAATGTGTTAAGATTATGGATTCTTAATAATTTTAAATTAAATCTAGGCACCTCTCCCATTGACATATATTACAGACAAGCTCCACATACTCCCTGAGGAATTTCAGTTTCCTCTTATGGACATCTGAGTGACATACACACTTGTGTGACACACAGACAAATTGATTGTTTGAACCTGTCATTTCTTCTGCCCTAAATTCTATTAATCACTAAAATATGGGGTTTGTGCACAGGGATTGTTTTTGATGCATTTTCAATGGCAGCCTGAAATCTCCTGCTGCCCTTTTCAAGAGCAAAATATATATATTTGTCAACAAAACAAAACAAAGCAAAACAAATAAACAAACAGAGAACACTGATGGTGGATATGAAAGGTAGATGGTAGATATGACTCCTCAGTGTGGACCTTCCCTCAAACCCTATGTTTCCTGCCACTTGGCAAGTCCAGAAGCCAGAACAGACCATAAAATAATGTGCAGGGTACCGCTCTTTACCAAATACTTCCCACAGAACTAGTGCTGGGCTGCTCTACACTAACTATATGTTTGCTTAACCCAATATGCTTTTCAGTTATAAACGTCCGAGAATCCAGAGATTCAGGAACAAAACACACTTGAAGGCTAGACGCAGACAGGAAAGTCATCTTTCTAATCTAATAAAATGTCTGTACACACAGACATGCATGTTCTGACCACGCATCGTACATTATTCATATAAATGCCTAGGAATTCACAACAGGGCCATTCCAACACTTGCAGAGACAGCCCAGTGAATTGGAAGTAAGAAAAAATATTCCTTATAGGAATACAGTTCATTGTAATTGAATCTTACACGTATAGTCATCAGAAATATAATCACGTAAATTAATGCAATTGAGAGCACGGGCAGGCAAACAGCTAATGAGTTTAACCTCTGGCAAAYGCAAGGGAAGAGCTTAGCAGCCAGGCTGTATTTCACAAGGCGGGGTTGCTTTGTGCTTTTCCTTGATTTCATTGAACATTGTTTGGTTTTGTACTGTGCCTGTTGTGCAAAAGGCATAAATAAAATGCTTTAAATAAAAGAGAAGGAAGAAACTAGTTATGTGCTTCCAATGGGAATGACTGAAAGTAAGGCACAGAAAAGACTGTAAAAAGAGATTGGAGAAAGAAGAGTGATTTGTCCCTCCAGTGAAATTCTTAACAAATGTGGCTCCCCAATGTGATATCAAACTAGAAACCAAAAGAGAAATACAAAATGTACAGGGGAAATGAGATGCCCTCTTCTTGGAGCTCACTGAATGGATTGCATTGCCACAGCCGAACTACAGCAGTAGAAATAATGAAGGGTAAATTCTTAACAAAATAGTCATCTCTTTTTTTTTTAGCCAAACTTCTGCACTATCTTTCCTCTGAAATCTCTTTAGCTGCCCTTGACACATCTAAATTTTGAGGGAGAACTCTAGAGAAGATAATTTACTTTGCTGACCATGAGGAATGATCTCTGCTCTGCTACAACGGGAGAGATGATTCAGAGGAATTCATGCAGGGATAGAGCTAGCTTTGCCCAAGATAAGAGCCATTTTTGGCTCTAGACAATTAAAGGTAGGAAATAACTCAGAAATTTGGGATAGAGTAGATCATCCTTTTCTGATTTATCCTTTCTTCTCTTTCTTTTTTTTTTTTTTTAGATACGATCAACTAAAGAGCAGCGTTGGGGAGGGCCTCTCCTGTCTAGAAATCATTCCTTGGAGGAGGAATTTGAAAGAGCAAAGGCAGCTGTGGAGGTATTGCTTTGTTTGTCTGCTTTTTTTCATTTTCAACTACCGTTCAATGCATTTCATATTCATCTTGCAGTACAAGCATAAGAGAAACCAGATCTAGATTATTCAAAGCAGAGAAAAAGATACATATCAAATAGTTATTCATTTTAAACAGTAGCTTTCTCTTAACAAAAAATAGAACCTCAGCTATAAATAGAGATGATCCAGAACCAATTCAATAAGCTAGATTTTGTCTTGCTATAGTGGGTGAAGAGAAATTCTCCATAAAATTAAATACATCCAAACTCAGTATATGAAACAATTTCCCAGTGATTGAATGTGCACAGTCAGTTGTTTCAGCTCAGGAGAAGCAGGACTGAAATCTGAATTCAGACAGAAGCTAAGTCTTTCCATCCACACTGAAACTGGAACTCAGAATCATTTACAAACAGAATACTTGCTGCAATGGCTGAGYATATGCAGCTATAGCAGGAACCATGCATCAATGCATTTTTATAAATAATGGTATGAAGTTTAGCACAGAAGGATTCTCTTTCCCAAGTAAATAGATTTAATTCAAAAAGGTGAGTGTATTTTTCTAGTTTTCCTATTGCAAATCTCTTTTTCCCTATCTTGTACTTTTCTAGCACAGAAAAGCCTGTTAATGGTCCTATACCTCCACTAGCAATCGAAATCCTGAATGTATCTAGAAACAAGGTAGCTTACAGGTTTTTTGACAGAAGTCAATAAAGATACAACCAATGATTCTGAGCACGCCACCATTTGGGGGTTTCGTCAGTAACCCTTCAAATCCCCATCCCCATAAACAGCCAAGACAGCTGCATCCCACTGAGGATGAAGTCCACGCTGAAGTACACAACAACATTTTTGGAGAACATTGTTTTTTCTGGTCAAATAGATTGTTTATAAACAGTGCTGGTGAGGCACAATAGGTTTAATGCTGCACATCACAGACATTTGCCACTGGCAGGAAAGGAGAGACTTGTTTTCAGGTGGCTGCTGTTTAAAATTCTCGGGATGCTCCTCATCCACTGCAGACTGATCCTTCAGGTAGGACACGCTGTGCTGTAATCCGTGATTCAGGCTCAGGGAGTTTGGCTTGAACATTGTCTGCATTATGGTTATTAGTTAAGCAAGTGGTGTCAGTACTCCTGCAATGGGCAGGAACTACAAGTAATGCAAAGTTCCTAGACATTCATGAGAAGGAAAAATATACTAAAGCTAATAAGAGATCACAAGACTTTATTCAATTTCTTTACCAAGTAAGGAGAGGAATATATTGTAAAACAAGCCTGCACATTAAAAAGGTCACTGGGAGGCAACAAAGACAGATTATTAAAATACTTTAATGYAGCCTGGAAAACAGCTATTAAAAAGAATCTAATTAAATGTTTCCCTTACTGTGTAGCTGGCAGTCTAAGTAATTCCTTCTGCTTAAAATAGAATCTGGTACCAGGTAGTTAAAATGTAAAGGAAAGGATGCTTCAAGACCTTGTAGAGCAGTCATTTTCATTTGCATATGAAAAGAACTGAATTTTCCTCCTAGCCAAAATGAAGTGGTTAGAAAGCTAGAGTGATTGAAATAAATTGCAGCCCATCTCAGAAAGATTAGTGCTTTCTTAAGAAGAGCACAGATACAGTTCAGAAATTCATCTTTTAGTCTTTGGATGTTTCTGTAATATTTTTCAATTGAGAAAGCTCCAAGTGGCAATATTAGCCAGAAAACTGATCAGGAAAAGGAAGCAAATCTCAAGTTCTTTGTGGCCCATTTTGAAAGGAATTAATTAACAATTCAGTAAATTAAGATGCCAAACTATTTTCCATCCAATATTCACTTTAGAGCTTTGGGAATGGTCTTAAGATGTCAAACCCTGAGATTAATGAAGATGCATGAGGTAATTTTTTCTTAAGAAGGTTTAAAGATATTTATGCCATTGGGGAATCTTTAAAGAATAAAGAGATAAGTAAAATAGCTTCATTACTAGAGAAAGTCCAGATTCATTTGCAGTGGCCAGGTTCTCACAGACTTGGCTTTTTTTTCCTGTCATGATAGAAACTAAATTTTATTACTGCATTGTCCAGTTGCTCTATGTGTGAGAAAAGCACAAATAGCATAAAATCTTCATTTCCCAAGTACCAAATATGTCTTAAAAATAATCTTTATAATATTAGGCTGCGTTTTTTCTACAATTGTGTCTACAACTGTTATTTTTGAATTTTCAAAATTTGTCATGACAGGGAATCAGTTCCACAAAAACCTGATCTATATTCTGTTAAAATGATTGCTTTATCTTCCAGTATCCAATTGCTAAGAGTTAGAAGAAATAAAAATGATAGACAGTGCAAAAATTCTAAATGAAAAATGTCTTAGATCTGGGCAAAAAGTAACCTTGATATTTTCTTATATCACATTTCTATGCTGTAGAAATTTGTTCATATGTGCCACAATGTGTCGCAGGTTTGCATAAAAGAAACTTCAAAATTTCTATCTCTATCTTATATACAATGCAATATCACATGAGCTCTCTGCAGTTTAATGTGCTGTAATGAAGGATCAAAATATATAACAGCTAAATTATGTGACAATAGTGACAGAAAAATAGGGAAACACAGTCCAGAATCATCAGCTTTCTGGTTTACGTGAATACCTGTTAAACTCCTTTATACGTTTTTACACGATCCAGTCTCACTATTTCTACCTGCTTGTTGGATCCTCTCAGGATTGCCTAAATCTGAGCAATACAGACCTAAGAGTTTGAGTCACTTAGATGCATCTTATCTAGAATCAGAGTGGGGATCTTTGCCTTGATATCAATTTGTTATATAAGTTATATTGAAAATGAATACTTCCGATTCCGTTTTGAGAAATTATCAGGTAGGGAAACTCGACGTAGCTAGCACACAAATATAATCCCTTTTGTGTCCAAAGAGTACTCCATACAGTACATACTTTGGAGTACATACTCCAAAGGATATGTTGATGCAGTAATTCACAGAAAAAAAATACAATAATCACAGAACCTTTTTTTTCTATGCACTCATCAAGAAGGAACATTGCAAATTACTTTCTGGCACTATAGGACTGAYAAAATTCTAACCTAAAAATGATGGAAACCAGGGGTAGGTTTAGAAATTGTCCATYAATATTGAGAAAGTGCCCTCTCCATTGCATCTTAGGAAATAAACAGGCTGTGAATATTTTGCCTGCCTTTTGTTTAATTGTTCCAGCATATTTTTCAGTGCTAATCAGAGCAAAAATAGCCCATTCAACAATATGCAGAATATTACGCATGTAAGGAGTCAGATGGTAAAAAACATTTTTCCAGGTTGTCATTCCATTTAAATGCTGCAGATGATCTGAGAATGTGTTAAGTGTGTTCAACTGCTCTGAAACCTTTTGGTATGTCCAAAGAAACTCACCACCATTCAGAGAGCTGAAATATTGAAATGAGGTAATTGGCACAAGTCACATAGCAAAAAGAGTCAGAATTACATCTAGGAATCTTGATCCAGAACCGGATTTTCGGAACTACTCAAAATTAATTTAACCCACTTGCTATTGGAGAAAACCACAAAACTGTCATCAAAGTCAGTTGAAAAAGACTTAGCTCTTTAACAAGAATATGCCTTTATGGTCCTCTTCTCCATGAGTTATTAACACTGTTAACTGGTATGGAAATATTACAGCATTTTATCAGGTGCCGTAACTGAGCATGATCCAGCTGTTGGATGCAGCTTTGCCTAATCGATTTCAGGAACCCGTATCCGGGCACAGCATAAGCTGGGAATTCACCCTATCAGGTGCCAGGACCCCATCTGCCACATGCATTTAGGAAGCTGCTCCTGGAGCAGGAGACCTACACTGGCTGCAGTCCCCCTGTGCATACTGGAAGAGTCTCTCCTGATCAGAAACCACAGACCTTCACAGCAAACTCTGCCCTGCCAGGGAACAGGACACGCACAGCACCTTCTAGATCCTGTACATGTGATCCTGTGATCACACAGGATTTTCCATGTCACACCTACAGAAAACGGAGGCAGGAAAACAATCCTATTTGTGTCAGAATCACAGATACATTCATTTCACTAGTAGTTCTATGATTTACTCCATTTACAAATGCATTTTAAAGCAATTCTAAGTAGTTTTATTAATCTGTGGGAAAGGAAAATTTCCCTTCCTTTACCTCATCCTGAATCTCAAAATTACTCCTAGTAAAAACACAGTCAAATAAACTTTTTCCAACATAGTGAAGATTTTTGCTGAATACAAAATAATACATGAAGACATTTGTTGGACTGTGTAGTTTAAGGGATTCAAATGTCTCTACTCATGACTGATAAGACTGAAAGGGAGCAAYCTGAATCACAATCTTGGTCTTTTCAATTTCCAAGTTTCACCACAATMTCAGAACTATTTAACAGGTTGCATTTCTTTCAAACTTGGAATGAAAACAAGTTTTGAAACCTCAGTAGCTGTTGTGCAGCAGAGTTGTTCTCTTCTGCTCACTTCTATTCACAGTATTATGAAAAGAGGAGTACAAGCTCCTCTCCCGCAGTGAGTCACAGCAGTTTCTGAGTCACAGAGGAACAGAGCAGGTACCTTCACACACCCAGTAACTGCATAATGCAGAGAAGTCCAAGTGTCCTAGAAGGAAGTGCTGGGTATCAGCAGGATGATATAGTAAGAGCACAGGAGAAATGCTTGTTAGATTCCTGAAGAGGGGACGCACGTTGCTATCTTTAAACAGATTTATAACAATTGCCCCTAATATTCATGAATGAAAGCCCTCCTAGCCCTTTACATGAAGTCTCAAATAGTTTCCCTGTTGACCTGAAGGTCTTYTCCAACCTTCCTTCCTCTCCCTGAGTGCCTAGCGAGGAGGGTTGTGGCAAGCCAGGCAACAGCAGTAAAGTTCTGTTCTTAAAATGATGCTGGGCAGTAATAGCATGGAGGGGATCAGTCTTGCAGTGAAGATTCAGACAAAACTTTCTGGACCATTTTCCAATATCTTTAAATCATTTTGATTAGTCTCTCTCTCTCTTTCTCTCTCTCTCTCTCTCTCCCTCTCTCTTTCTCCAATAGTTCTGTCTAAACCGCATTTATTTCTGCTACTGTCTTTGCCATAAGTGCGCTGAGAGCCTTCATCCCTGGTACAGACCATGCTGCTTTAGGACTTGCCTGTGCTTATGGCCAAGACATGGAGGCTGAAAAAGAGCAGCTTAACTTGCATTGCCCTGTCTTTTTGTCGGCTTGTTTCTGTGTCTTGTCATCATTTTCTGGCACACACTGTGGTTCCCTCATTCTGGGTGATACACACTGTAAAATCTCTTCTTATTTCATTATTTCTGTCTTTTCTGTATATATTTTTCCCTTTTTGTCCTTGAGCTCATTGCTATCATTACTGTACCATTTATGAGCTCTACAGTTTCCTYTCAACACTGTACAGTATACGAAGCAATGTTAGGATTTCTCCATTCTGTCAAAAGGCCATCAATGTTTTGACATTTCTCTTTTACGTAGCTGAAAACAATACTGAGTCTATCAAAGTGGGATACTTGTTCTCTTTTAAACTGTTTTATCTGTTGTTATTCCTTAGCATGTATGCTTAGCTGATTTTTCTTTTTTGGACGGGAACTAGCTACATTCATTTTCTTCAAATTTTAGGTAACAATTTACTGCTAGAGTGAAAGAGATGTAGTGTAAGCTGCTGTAAATCCTGCTTCGCATAGAGCATGTGCTCTCTCTGAGATAAAGGGCTTTATATTGCAGAAATACATAACAATATAAGTGACAAAATTTAGCTATATGGAATACCAAATTTGCGCTGCAGGATTTCAGACTTTGCTAGAATCAGACCACCAGTAAAAACAAAGTAAAAGCTTAGTAGGTTTTTAAAGTTTCATTGTTAATTTTCTTTCTCTTTTCTCTATTTCTTCTAGTCAGACACAGAATTTTGGGATAAGATGCAAGCAGAGTGGGAAGAAATGGCTCGCAGGAATTGGATTTCAGAGAACCAGGAAACACCAGGACAAGTCACCATCTCAACCATTGAGAAGGTAACAGAGCTTTTTAATCCAGCACATCCTTACCTTAGTTTGAAGAGCTTCTCAGCTATTCAAGGACACCCAGGAAAGTCTTCCCAGACACGGCAGCTAACTTTTACCCACGGGTTCAGTCTCCTTAACAATGCACGTGGGAATGGCAAATTTAAAAGGATTTACCACAGTGTGGATGCTTTTAGACTCACATTGTGCCTGACTAAATTTGGCCTAAGGATGACTAAGCAAACTGCTAGATCCTGGCACATTTGAAGACAGACACTTAAGTAAGAGGATCAAATATTAAATAATCTACTCAGGAAAGTTTGAACACAGCCAAAGAGAAAAATGAGATTCTTTCTCCTTCATTCTATTATACATTTTAATTTGACTTATATAATGTAGCTGCTATTAATGTAAACCCTTCACTCTGCAGTACCAGAAAGGAAGCTTTGCTGTCCTAATAGGTATTTTGACCTGGGAGCCATTATTAGGTTAACATTTGTATTGATTTCTATTCCCCCAAAACACAGTGTCTGAAAGCAGATCCTTCTCAGACATTTCTGACTAGGCCTCTTTCTCCCGCGCAAAATGGAGCATTAGCTCACAACTAGGTAAAAGTTAAATAATCCTAAAAGAAGTTCTGGGGCTTGCAAAAGGCTTCTATATTTTGGAAATAAAAATTGCAAGTTATTGACTGAACAGGCATTAGGTTACAAGCCCCATAGGTGATCCCTTCATGACCATTTTTTTCTACAAATTCAGCCTACGGGGCTCATGCAGTCAGTGTGAGTTGTTGCCATTAGCTTTGATCGGAGCAGGAGAGCCTGACACATGGGCATCAACAAGTGTATCTTCAGATCTAAGTTAAAGAAACCAGTAATATAAATGTCCAGTGATGCTCCAGGACATGAATTACTAGGAWAAATAATAATTTAAATTTCACAGGCTAGTTCATACTTTCTACATACAATGGAWCTTTATAGCCAGGGAGTCATTCCGTTGTACAGAGATGTCATTCCTTGCTGGAGCGCTTCCTCATGGGTCTGCTACCTCTCTTCTCCAGGGCTATTATTTTCATACCGAAAACCCTTTCAAAGACTGGCCGGGGGCTTTTGAGGAAGGACTGAAGAAAATGAAAGAGGGCGACTTGCCAGTCACGATCTTGTACCTGGAGGCTGCGATTCTGCAGGAGCCCAACGACGCAGAGGTATCGGCTCCCGAGCCCTCCCCCGGGCGCGCGGACACCAGAGCTCCCGGCCCAGCCCCGCGGTAGCCCCRTGGGAACAGACCCAGTGGTGGGTTTGGAATAGCACACGCCCTGAAAGAAATTAAGGGGAGCTCTTAATACGATGAGACTCTGCTTTTGAAACTGTAAAATTCCCAATTTGTCATTTAAAAAGCTTTCAAAATTGACAATATTTCAAACTTTCCACTTTTTTCCCCTGGTGTTTTCAAACTATTAAACACTAGCTGAAAAGGTGAATATCTTTGATGATGTCAACAAGGATGTTGACTCATTTTTAAAGTTGCACCAATTTCCAATACTGCTATTTTCAGGGGCTATATATTTAAAGTCTGCTSTCTTTGAAACTTTAAATATATTTCCAGTATGTGTAGCTAGATTTCCTCGAGCCTATTGCTACACTAAAATAAGCAGCAGCATTTTGAAAAGCAGATCAAACTCTCAGACCCTATAGCATCCCTTAGACCTGTACAACAAAACAGTTTTTCATCATTTTCTGCAAAAGTCTAGCRACAGCAGAATGCATTTTAAATGTACAGCACTGCTTTTGAGAAACCAGTGAGTGTCCTTACACCGCCAGGATGCCTTTGCATCCACTGCCTACAAATGGGGAGAGGCCCCAGGATACTCAAAACTGCATTAATTTGTACTTTTGGTGTGCTCACAGTAGAAAAATCTCTATTTAGCCAATACTGACACACTTGCTGTTTTATTCACCCCGCTATTTAACAGTGATATTAGTCAGTAATTCTGCTTGCACTTTGGTACAAAAATGACTATTTGTTTGCTGGTTATTTTTGCAGGCCTGGCAGTTCCTGGGCATAACGCAAGCAGAGAATGAAAATGAGCAGGCAGCCATTGTCGCCCTCCAAAGGTAGATGGAGTTAATTGCTAAATAACGGSTCTGATCAGTAATTAGGTGACGGAAGCCTATGTATATTTACCCTCACACATGCCTTGTAACTTCAAGCATTTACCTAACTAAGGAAAGCATTGACACACGTAGAGAAATCTTCATAGCGCATTTGGAAGCACGAGCTGGGATTAATGTTTCCATTTACGGGATAATTGAAGTATTTAATCTAAAACTTAATTAGATGCACAAAAGAAAAGTTACATGGCCTGGCAAACACGAATAGGCATAATGCAAATAAAGTGYCTTTTTAATATTCCAGCCACTCAGCATATTTCCCATAGTCCGTCCTTTAATGAAGAGGTTTCTTAATTGGAATGAGCTCCTTCCAGCTGCTGAATATTATATTGAGAATATTTTAGATTGATAAAGATGTAGAGAACATGGCAGGCTTGCATGTAAAACATCAGTTCCAAAATATCTGTATTATTATTACCTTACTGTTGTGGGTGTTCATGCTTCCACTTGAACAAAGTGTCCTCTCCAAATTTAATTGCCAATTTAATCTCCAAATTTAATTTAGTAATTTAACCATCAAGTCATTTTGCCTAAGGACACTTCAATTACCTTCACTCGTTTATATGTAACTTATTAGGGTACCTAGATATAATTCCAAGGGATCGTCTGATACAGGCCTTGCTCATCCCCACCGTTCTAAAACGAGCAACAGTAACATGGACAAATTAGGCTGGATTCTGTTCTTGGTTAATGGTGTGTAGCTGGATAAAGGCTACGGGCATTGACTGGCTCTGGCTCTATTGAAGTGTAATTTAGAATCCATCATGACGGAGAAGATCAAAAAGAGGGGAAGAGATTTTGTCTTCAAAACACTTTTTTGTTTAGTTGAAAGTTTTTAATTAAATTCCTCAACTTGAGTTTACACAAGGCACCTCTGTGTACTGACTGGGCAGACACTATAGAAATGAATCTGCTCATATTTACTATGAAAAATAACCTACACAACCAACAGGAAGAGAAGAAAGCCTGTGTGCAGGTTTATGTACGTGTGTGTTTCCACACACGTGTGTGTGTGTGCGCAAGGGCATGTGTGTMGTGCATTTACAATGTAAAAATAAGACTAAGTCTCTTCTTTAAAAGCATGACTGAGTACATCTTACCTGCATGAGTGACTTCTAAAATTATTTGAGTTGAGTTTGGGAGAAAATAGGAAAGAAAAAAAAAAAAAAAAGCTCAAAGTATTTTTATTTTCTGTCTAGGTGCTTGGAGTTACAGCCAAACAACCTAAAAGCTCTGATGGCCCTGGCTGTGAGTTATACTAACACCGGCCATCAACAAGAGGCCTATCAAGCTCTACGAAATTGGATAAAGCAAAACCCCAAATACAAGTATATAGTGAAAAGCAAAAAAGGGTCCCCAGCACTTACCAGGAGAATGTCTAAGACATCAGATGAAAGGTAAGAGGAGCGTAAACCCTAATGGTGGAAACTTTAATGGCAACTTTTTGTCCTGTGCCCTTATGCCACGGAGGTCCTGCCTGCTTCCTTTGGTATAAACTCCAACTCCAGACMCAGTCTGTAGCCAATACGTTATCTCGCCTGGATTCATAGTTGCGCTTTGACTTTACCATATAAGTAAATTCTGATACTCTGCAAATGAATTTACAACAGCAGTTGAAAGCAAATCTGCATTACACTGATAGCGAAGAAACTTATTTTAAATTTTAAGAGTGCATCACTGCTGATACGTTCAGTGCAAGGATTTTAAATTGAGGCTATGCATCCAATATTGAAACGTTTGCAAAGAAGGGCAAGATGCAGCTTGATGTTATTTTTCACCCTCTTCTAGCTCGTTACTTGAAGAAGTAAAGGATTTGTACCTGGAGGCAGCTCACCAGAACGGCGATATGATAGACCCTGACTTGCAGACAGGCCTTGGAGTTCTTTTCCACCTGAATGGAGAATTCAGCAGAGCAATAGATGCATTTAGTGCTGCTTTAACTGTTCGGCCAGAGGTAATTTTCTGCTTTTATGTTCTTAAGAGTTTAGCTTTCCAAGCTCTTTCTTTCCCCTCTCTCCTGAACAGGCCAATATTAATGAGAGACCATTTCAGCCATTAAAATGTTAATATCTGAAACAGAAATGTTAATTACAAACTGTGCCATTTATAACAGATTTATGTGTGTCCAGTTTTAGTTGTATACTGATTAATGGTGCTCATTACATGGCTCCGTCTGTAACCACGAATCAGAACTTCACGCTCCATGTCAATTAGCAGAAAACACTATTATGTCCCTGCTTGACACCTGCAGTAGGAAACCTGCATTTTCTCACCAGGACTACACACTATGGAACCGTCTTGGAGCAACTTTGGCCAACGGCGATCGAAGCGAGGAAGCTGTTGAGGCCTATACACGTGCTTTAGAAATACAACCCGGCTTCATTAGGTCCAGATACAATCTAGGAATAAGCTGCATCAACCTAGGAGCATACAGGTAAGTTACACAAATGTAAAAACAGAAGTGTCAGGGACCATATAAACATTTACCAGGTGAAAGCTCATGTTCTAGCTAGAGTTATCTATGAGGCTACATTCTGACTTTTTGTCTCAACTATTGCAAACATTTCGAACGGTGTTTTCCAAAACATTGATGCTTTTCTTGGATCCACGCATTCTGTTAACAGAACTATAGCATTTCAATTAAAACCAGATGCATTGAGGAAGCTACATAAGCAGGGTATTTTTAGCTCTAATTGTATGTACTGTTATTATAAATCAGTGGGATTATTCCCACACTTAAAGTTAGTCCTGTGTTTAAGAGCTTTTCCAAAAGGAAGAATTCAAGTGTTGGTCCCTAGGAGAGAAACGTCAGTTAAATTGCTTCAAGTATCTAATTCTGTGAAAGACACTTTTGAAAACTCCTTCAGGAATCCAGGGTGATATTCCAGGCCTCCATAAGGGTCCCAACTGTCAGCTTAAGAGAGTTAAGATGAAGTGGAACKATACAACAGCTTCCCCAGACGTAGGGTTAGACTAGAGCTCTGCACTACTCCAAGCTCTGTTTCTAGTAAACAATAAGCAATACGGTTATCCGTTCATTTAAGTCAAATCAAGCAAGAATAACATAAACACTGTAATGAACTGTCTTGTAAAACAATGTATATGATTTTAGCATGGTATTTCAGAAAGCTTTACATTAGTCTTTAAGCATAGACTAAGCATAGACTAAGCATATTATCTTGCACGTTTCTTTTTTCTTCTTCCCTGCAGAGAGGCTGTCAGCAATTTTCTCACTGCTCTCAGTTTGCAAAGAAAGAGCAGGAACCAACAGCAGGTTCCCCATCCGGCTCTGTCAGGCAATATTTGGGCAGCGCTCCGAATTGCCCTGTCTATGATGGACCAGCCAGAACTCTTCCAAGCTGCCAATGTGGGCGACCTAGACATTCTGTTAAGAGCTTTTAACCTAGAGCCGTAAGAAAAAATATCCACAAGGCAATTAAGCTGCATTAAGAACTAGAGAACTCTTCTATGACTTACATCAAAATGACCGTGTTTTCCAAAAGATCATGGCTGAGGATCAGTAGGGGAACTCTCCTGGACATGACTCCAAAAGTTCAAAAGCACAAAAAAAAAAAAAAAGAAAAAAAAGAATATAAGTTCTAAATCAATGATTAAAATGGACTGCAGCCCTGAACTAGACAAAGCAGTCATTTCTGAGGAATGACTTCATCCCATGCAACCTATATCTCGAAGCTRTACAGAGAAAACTAGAATAGGAACCAACCCAGGTAATCCTTATTGCACATTAGAACGGTGAGCAGCGCATCCAAGGAATCTGCTGAGCAGCTCATTGCATGATGCTGACGCCGCTTTTCCCTACAACAGGAATTCCCTATCCTTTGGTTTCTTTGTTCAGCAGTTTTCTCRAGGTCCATCATTAAGTAAGCTCTGATACAGATGCATGTAAGCTGGATGTATTTTGTTTTGACTGTGTTTATAACAAGAGCTTTGCTTCTGAGGCTTCCCTGGTTGAACCTGGGCCTAATTCTGCAGGCTCACAGAGTTGCAAACCTCATGGGATGTAACAAGAACATTGTACAAGAGGGCTCATGGGATTAGGCCGTTGACTTTCCAAAAGGACATGTTACAAGTGGAAGCAGTAATTTGCACTAGAATTGTTGTTTAAACCAGCTATCCCTGATCATGGAATGAGGAAATTGTCTACCAAGGCGCTTGCAGCAGGATCTGCACCAGTCTATGTACTTATGCACTTTAATCTTTCTTTTTGTAAATCAATGCTATGCTTTTATTTCAATTAGTAWCAACAAAACATACAAGATAGCCTTGTCAGCTTAGAGGACCAAATATTATTTCCTGTAATGTGATAAGGTTTTCAATGTCTAAAAAAATGCAAACACAAATAATACCTACCAGAGAGACTATTTAATTACACATCTTTCAGGTATCACACACATACGTGCTGTATGTGGATTATGTCATTTGGAAGATAATAAGCCTGCAGATTTCTATTACAAATAAAGTAAAATTTCATAAGAATTAATGCCAGCAGACCATGCTCAAGGGAAAATTTTCCCTGAAAAAAAATAKTCTATCTAGGGATTGTAGGGTTGGGACTAAAATTTGTTCCTTTTTGCTCTTATGACAAGCAAAATTTTCAGTGACCTCCATGACAGCAAGTCAAATCCTTAGATAATATATATATATTTTTAAAAAATGGATTTTAGCTGTCTTGAATGAAAAGGAAACAGTATTTGGGTGGGAGATTGAGGGTGGTGAATGCACTGCTGAAGGATGAATGAATCCTTCTGGGTATCACGCAAACGTGTTTAGTTCAAGGTGAACATGTCAACCAAAGAAAGGAATAGAAAGTTCTCAGGAGCTAATTTTAAGTTGCTGATATTTCAATAAGTTGCTGATATCATTCCAAAATAGGAAAAGAAGTAGTGGGGGAAACAGCATATTTCCCATAAGTAGCATACAGGAAAAAAATCAGCCAGATTGGCTGTATTAAAAAAAAAAAAATCCCAATGCACAGATCAGAGAGCCAGGCTCTGCAGGAATTCGGCAGCTTCACCAGCGCAGGTTTCTTGCAGCTGTGTGTTATTCTGAGCAACCACTTAAAGGAAACGGCCCTGTAAGACAGTCTAATCACAGCGTCTAATCACCAAGTGTAACTTGTTAAATAAAAATAATCAATTCTCATTAAAATAAAAGGCCTACCCATCACTCCTTTCCAAAGGACCGAGGGGCTGAAGCAGCTCCAAGGATTTTTCAAAAGTGCTTTATTAATTCACTGCCGATATACAGCCCTCCTTATCTATCAAGCAGGCACTGGATTCCTGCAGTTTTCCTCTAAAGGCTGTYTATCAGGGACTGGGATTGGGAATGCCATTTCAGCGGCAGCAGCCTCGCTGTCAGGGAGCTGCTGACAACGGTTTGCTCTTCTGCTGTGACAGCGATGTGTGATGACAGCCCTTTATTGATAAGGCAGAGCAGAAGGTGCAGCGCAATTGAATCTGGAAGGCGATAAGAGAGAAGGGAGGCAGCTCTGAGACGAGGCTGCAGAGCAAGGGCACACGCGCTTAGATTTTGCTTGATGCCCTGCCATGACAAATGCTCTTCTAGAATATCCTCTGTGCCATGGGGAAGGATAATTAGTGTTTATACAGAGGATTTATATGGCCGAGGGCTTTATTTGTGTGCCTCTCAACTCAGCAAACCTCACTGCTTGGCTCAGCAGAGTGACCATGAACACACACAATACTTTTGTTCACTAAACCTTTTTTTCTCCTGGATGTGCATCAGTAATACAGCAACTTCATTAGATAGCACTCGGACCGTGCATTTAAATCTAACACAGCTCCTGACCCTCCAAAAAGAAGAGGCAAAGCGGGTAGCTCAGTTTATCCTGGGATGCTCTGTTCAGAACCACATCAGCTGACACGCGTGTCCCAACCCCATCGGTGCCAGGAGAACTGCCTGCACAAACCTAGAGGAGAGGGGCATCCTCTGCCTCCCGGGGTGCTCCAACCCACCGCACGCAGGGCAGAGCTGCCCTGCAGCGCCAGCCAATGCAAAGCAGGATGAGAGGCTGCTTTGGACTTGCTCCGTCGTGGTGTTGCTTACAGACCGGGTGGCAAGCACCTAGCTTTGTCTGCAAGAGCAAGAGGAAACGCATGGGGAGGCTGTAGCCTGTTAGCACCCTGGAGAGGAAAAGCAGCTACTCGTGCTTCTAACCAGGCACGAGGCAGGGTAAATAGGAAGGCTGCTGAACTGCAGATCAAGCTGTGAGAGAGATAGGAAACCTGGGACCTCTTCTCAGTGCTCCCTGTGAGCTTGACCAAGCAACATTCCCCCTGGATCCTGGCGCGCAGGGAAGCCAGGAGGGGAAACCACAGCTGCACATGTGATGCTCCTGGATGAGCAGAGCAACTCTGTTAGGGCACAGACCGTGTGTGTGGGCAAGGCTGCTGCTTCAGAGAAGGTAACACACAACTGASACTGCTCAGGTGTGAGGAAGGAAGCAGATGTACACAGAGATTAGCTATTTCAGCAAAGAAGAGGGCCTAGGACACGTCAGGACTAGGAATGTATGATAAATGTGGGATAGCAAATGGAAGAGCCGCAGGGGTTTGTCACCACCTCCCCTTCCTGTCACTCCCCGCTTTCTCTAGAAGTGATTTATGACTTCCAGGTAATTGATTCCAGCTTGCTGAGTCTTTCTTCTATTTTATACATTTAATGCGGTTAAAAATGCTTTCCTAACCTTCTCCTTTGCAAAGCCGTATGAATATTTACAACCTGCAAGCCTGGTGCATCAAGCTGCTGACCACTGCAGCGCTGCAGTTCACGGGAGCRCTCGGATCGGGTGCCTGCCCCCAGGTCCTGGGCCAGGGCTCCCCTCCCACCGCGCTGCTCCTGCCCAACAGCCTCTAGATAGGGGAGAAGACTTTGCAGTGAAAGCAATGGGCAAAGCCCATTTCTTGCTGATCTCTCTAAACTGAAGTGACTTAAATCCTTGTCAAAAGAAACTGGTTTATGTTTAAAATATCAATTTGATTTTTAGGTCAATGCATACATATATCCTTATCTAGTGGCATTTTCTTAATATCTGCTAAATCACAGCGTTTGTAAAAACATTGAGGAAGAGGTTGAAATAACACAAAACCTCACGTATGATAATATTGCATGCAACTATATTAACAAATAGTTACATTGAAATGTTAACCCAAAGCATGGTGTAATACTACTTGCATATGCTCTTGCAGAATGCATGCATAAGGCCCACACATAGGGTATTCTTAAACTATTGACTGGTATCTTCTATGGGATATTTAAAAAGCACGCTGCATCTTCTAACACAAACTATTCCAGTTTTGTGTTTATGTGCAACAGATTAGATCAACACAGATCACTTTTTAAATCCCCTCCTTCTGTTGTGGATTCATGTTTTCTTCAGGTGTTTAATTAGTGATGGAAATCCATAGTAACAGCTTTTGCAGACATGTTTTCAATTTCCTTCTAAGAAATAAAAAGATTAATTCACAGCTTTTACAATGAAGCTGGTTTAGGGCTTTTCATACTTTCTTCACAAGCCTAAACCTGATACCACCACGCCAAASATTGAGATAGCTGTTGATTTGGCCTACACGTAGCACAACCAAGCTTTCCAAATTCACCCGTTAGCTCAGAAGGTGGCAGGTGTCCAGCCATCCTGCTTGACGTATGCAGACCTTCAATGTCAAAGGCTCTGAACTACATCTGATCATTCTGCTGGTGCTTAACTGAAAGCTCAGAGCATCAGGTGAGGCCATAGGAGCTCACGTGGCAGTTGAGAGAACTCAGGCCTGCCCGTGAGGTAGAAAGAAGGACCATGACAAGGCCAACAGTTCAGCCAGGTGACCCCTAGGAGATGTGTGGCCAGAGGCCTCCAGGACACSCAAGCCAGTGGTACAGAGATAACAACTTACAGCGTTACTGGCAACACAGAAGCAGAGACTGAGGCCTAAATCACTGCCCGTTGGAGCCAGCGAGACCTGGACTGAGTCACAGACTGGCTGGAGACCGGTGTCTTCCCAACGTGCATCTGCAAAAGGACACATCAGTTACTTAGCATCAATAACCTGCAGAGCTGACAAATGCAGACTCTAGTCACCTGTGTTATCAGTTTAGCAGTCTGTACAGTGAATGTATAGAATAAATGTTTATAAAATACCAAATATTCACAGATAAAAATATAYACAAAATGCTCTGCACGTTGTGGAAAAAGATGGTGGGTATGCAATACAGTATTCTCTACTACTCAGACCTCATCTAGACTAGAAATCAGATTCCTGTATAATAGTTCTATTACTAGACTGGTAAAATAAATATAAATATATAAAAAAATACAAAAGAATAGAGTGTCACGCATGAAGAGACCACTGATGCTTTGAACAAACCTAGAGAAAATGCAAAAGGATATACAGAAAGATTCAGAGTCAAYACACAAAACAATAGGTGCTAGGTATGGGCGAGAGACAGTCAGAAGGAACCTAAAGCTTCCTAAAATCAGCTGTAATTTTGCAGGTGCTTGGAAATGTAACATCCTGTTGAGCAAGCTTGCATGGTCAAGACTCAATGTGCTTTGATTGTTTTTTCCCTTCCCACATTTATAGAACCCCAACATTGGCTAAATCTTTCATTTAAATAGCCTTTTTAATATCAGTAATCTATTGTAAATTCAGAAAAATCAGAACATTTATATATATTTTATATATCAGAGTATAACCTATCTAGAGTAAATGAATATATCTAGTTTGGAAAGGCAGTCTGTGCAGCTTCTTCTCTATGCTGTAAACTGTTCGAAAGCCTTTGCAGCCTTGCATCACTTTCTTTGGCTTTATTTTTAAGCCAACTTACGGGAAAGAGGAGATCCTAGGGCTGGAGAAGTCTTTTGCCCAGGCCCTGTCGGGAGTTCAGCCCTGCACTGAACGTTTACACTCCGGTTCCAAGGTTCCTACCGACCCAGGGGGATCCATAAGAACATACGGAGTAAAAGGGCAGTTTCTTACAACAGGTAACTTCACCCCTGTATATTCAGTGCATTACCAGCTGTATATAATGTTTAACACAGACTTGCAGTTGATTGATGCTTTAATCTGATGTTTCCTTGCACTGCTCTTTAAAATTACCCGTTTCCTCAGAAATTTACTATGTGCATATTGGATGTGTTAAATTTATTAAGCTTAGAGATTACTATTT